TGAACACAAGATGAAATATGAAGGGCACTCTGGAAACTTCTGTTCCAGGAGATTGTTGAGGGTCTTTTCCTTGTCCTCTTCCTCCATTATAAGGAAAAGAGGCTCTTCCCCTGGCCCCCTGAGCAGATGTCTGTTTAATGGAGCCATTTCACAACTTCTGTGAGATTACTGGGATCTCCTTCATTACAGAATATTAAAGGAAAATGTAACTTTAATATTTCTTATTAATGTGTGTATATAGATAGATAGATTTGAGACATACCTCACAAGCGTAGCCTGTTATCCAATTGGAAGGGCCTCTTGTAGGGTTTCTGCACTGTAATATACATGTATCTTGGTTAATTTCAAATTGGTCAGAAGGGGGTGCAAATGTAATGGTGTGCTGGAGGAAATGTCCAGTACCTTTCAGAGAAAACCATCTGGAGTCCACCATCTCCGTATGATTGGAATGTCACACTGGAAGACACAAACATAGAGAAATCTTTAAATATCAACTGCTACAACATCATAAAGGTCAATTACTTTAACTGATAACTACTTACAGATGTAAAATCAAAGGGTGCTCCCAAGACAAGATGTACTGGAAAACAACAAAAAATAAGAATATTCTCCCTGTAAATGGCACAAAAAAACCTTCCTTGTTCCTTATTTAACAACTAAATAATCACACCAATAACTGGTTGCAAAAATGTATAGTATAGCCTAAAATAAATAAATAAGTACACAGGTAAACTATTATGCAATAATAAATTGTGAGTACATTAAACAAACAACTCAAGATATTCATACCTCCACAGACAACTGCATGTTGAAGTGGATTTGAAGATGACTTATTAATTTGACCAGTTTGGCTGGCTTAAACATGCTGGTCAAGCAGAAAATTGCTGGTAATTGCTGTAACACTTGTTGCACTGCTGCAGCTCAGGTAATGTGTCAACTCTCTGAATCCTTATATGTCTCTACAAGAGATGAAGCCACACACAATTATCTCAATGATTGGGATTAAAATAACTAAACTACAAGGTAATATTAACACACAAACAATGCATATACCAGAGGGAATTAAAGCAAGCTATTTATTTTTATGAATAATAAACGTCTTCAAAACTTCACCACAAGGCCCATTTACAGCATGCATCCGAAAATTAATCGAAACATCCACAGAAACAAGTTATATACTATAAAGTATGACAACAAATTCAAGTTTCAATATAAGATAATAAAGCCAAGCACACGTTAAGTACTTAGCAGATAAATGCTTAACGTAATATATACGATAATTATTAAACATATGATAGCAAAAACATTACAGACTACTCACCGTGCTCTCTCGTTGTCAATAACTCCGCCCCTCACTTCCGGTTCTGTGGCTGCGGTTCTGAAACTGCTGGTGCTGCGGGTCTGCAGCTGGATACTATTGATCTAAACGGCCCCTCCTCCACTAGGGGGCAGCAATAGTTTGGGTAGTTGAGTACAACGTCCAGAGACCCAACGTGTCGCATTTATGATCCAGTTTTAGAAACCGAAAAGTGAAAGTTTGATCCAAACGTCATTATAAATTGATCACTTTACCATGGGACAAAAAGACGGTTCACGCGATGATATGCAACATATGTGGTTGCTTTGAAACGATTTATTGTCACACAGAATATGTCCATAACAAAACATGTTTTCGCGTCTTAATCTGAAACCATTGAAAGTCTTTAATGTTTCCGATGGTTGTGTAAGTGCAGTACGACCGTACAATCCAATTTTACGTAACATCCAAAACTCCCAATCAATAAAGGAAATTGCAGTGTTGGAATCGATTGTGAAAGCCAAAGCTCCTGTGGTTCATGGCATGGTTTGGTTCATAACGAAGCTGGTTTAGGGGGCGGTTTGAGTTTTTCTTCACTCGAGCTCGTCAACAAGTTTCCTCACTCTCTGAGTCTTGTGAGGAACAGTCACTGCCACGGGCTGTGGAAACTTGAGCAAACTTCACTCCAGCACAGACTGGGCGGAATAATGACTGGACGTGTGAGCATAGGTTTGCTGAATTCTTTGGCCAGGGGAAATGTAATATTTAGGAGCAAGAAATGTGTGCGCAAAAGTAAAAGTGTTGTGTTGATCTCACGGTGTCACGCCAGGTCTCTGTCCAGCAGCAGCAGCATCAGCGCGGCTCAACCGGACCTCAGCTCGCATCTCGCTGGGAAGACCTACTCAGATTTATATGAACTGTCAGTCAAAGATACAGAAACTTTCTGGGGATCCATCGCCAAGGAAAGGCTGGCATGGACCAAACCTTTCGATCAAGTGACGGACTGCGATCTCTCCAGCGGGAAAATCAACTGGTTTCTTGGAGGGCAACTGAACGTCTCTGGTGAGGGTCACACCTTTCTTCTTTAACCGTTTATCGTGTTTCCATCGCTGATAAACCTCCACTGGCTGATATGCTAGATCAAAGATTTTTATCTATCAGAACAAAAAGTCTTTATTTTAACTGAGATTGTAATACTTACATTTTCACATCCACAAAGAACAACTTTCTTTCTTGTCAACAGTAAGCATAGTAGCACGCGAGGTCTCTGTCCAGCAGCAGCAGCAGCAGCAGCATCAGCGCGGCTCAACCGGACCTCAGCTCGCATCTCGCTGGGAAGACCTACTCAGATTTATATGAACTGTCAGTCAAAGATACAGAAACTTTCTGGGGATCCATCGCCAAGGAAAGGCTGGCATGGACCAAACCTTTCGATCAAGTGACGGACTGCGATCTCTCCAGCGGGAAAATCAACTGGTTTCTTGGAGGGCAACTGAACGTCTCTGGTGAGGGTCACACCTTTCTTCTTTAACCGTTTATCGTGTTTCCATCGCTGATAAACCTCCACTGGCTGATATGCTAGATCAAAGATTTTTATCTATCAGAACAAAAAGTCTTTATTTTAACTGAGATTGTAATACTTACATTTTCACATCCACAAAGAACAACTTTCTTTCTTGTCAACAGTAAGCATAGTAGTAATTTCCTATTTCAATGATTGACAGTGAACTGTTTGGATGTACACGTGGCAAAGGATCCAGACAGAGTAGCCTTGATTTGGGAGAAAGATGAACCTGGCACAGAAGAAAGGATCACATACAGGTACATTTGAAGGTCCTGAGAAATTTACATGTGGCTCTTTACCCCACACTCAGACTTACATTTTCAACACACGGGTTTTGAAGCAAGCAGTTTTTACATGTGTCTCTTTACACTAACTAGTAACTACTTTCATGATGCTGTTATTTTAGATTTGCCGGTATATAATTTATTCAAATAGTGACTGGCAATCAGTTAGACACTACTGCCTACTGATTACATACTTGTTGCCATTGCCAATAGTAACAAGTTAGCAGTTATATTTTACTATTTATATAATATTATAGCATTTATTTAGTTGTATGTATTTATATTATAGTATATATTTTGTATAGTTAGCTTTTTATATATAATGTTTTCATTCTAATTTTAGTAATTTTGTTATGCACTTGTCATTTTTATTAGTTTTTGTTTTTCAATATTTCTGTTTAGCTTAAATATAATATTTAAGTTTTAGTGATTTTAGTATGTCAGCTTTATGTCAGTCAGTTATGTCATTTTTCATTTGTCTGTTCATCTAATATTTATATTTTATTTATCGGGTTCGAGTCTCGTACCGGCAGGGATTGTAGGTGGGGGGAGTGAATGTACAGCGCTCTCTCCCACCTTCAATACCACGACCGAGGTGCCCTTGAGCAACTGCTCCCCGGGCGACGCAGCATAAATGGCTGCCCACTGCTCCGGGTGTGTGTTCACGGTGTGTGTGTGTTCACTGCTGTGTGTGTGCGCACTAAGGATGGGTTAAATGCAGAGCACTAATTCCTAGTATGGGTAACCATACTTGGCCACATGTCACGTCACTAATGAAAACGTTTTTAATAGTTTCAGTAAACAGTAACAGCAATGCAAGTTATTGTTCCAGTGGCTCACATAAGACTAGGATTGTAGGTTTTCATTTAGATTACCTTTACAGTCATCTAATGCTCACCTAAAGTTAATCTTTAAAGGTGCTGTATGTAGGATTGACACCGAGTGGTTGAACTAGGTATTGCAGTCCAAATTCAAAATATTGGAGAGGGTTTTTTTTCACCTGGCCCCTCCTCCTAGACTTGACGCACACGCAGGTTGCCAGATTGACGACAGCAACAAGAACGTGCGCACTTGACGGTGAATGAAATGAAATATGCTGTGTTTTCCGCCAACTGGCAACCCGGGGTCCCGAAATACAATTGGGTAAACCGGCAGTGGGCGGGTTTCACAAACCAAAACAGAGACCGACATTCTGGCCCGGAACGCACATTTTCAAAGGAGAATAACTGACTAGCATTGTTTTTCAGATAAACAAGTATGTTAACTTAGCATGTTTCTTAAATATCTGCAAACATATTATGGTATTTTTATGCTTTAGTAGAGTCAAAA